TATGGTTGATGCACTTACAGTTACTTTTGACGGAAGAGGCAGAACTCGAGTTGACGGTCTCTCATTTATTACATGGGCCTTTTCTCCTCTGTCAGATTTTACCAGACTTTCCTAACAGCATATAACTAACTCTAATTATAAAGAATTCCTTGTTAGTATATTAGTAAATAAATTCTGTCCTTAGATACCATTTTTTATGACAAGTAATATCCTTTGAACTTGACATGTAATTTAAATGGTTTATATTACATGCATTAATTCACTTTTGGATTCTTTTTTTGAATTTTGAAACTTTTATTGACAATTGCTATGTGAAGGCACTATTAGATTCAGTGAAGCATAACCAAAAAGTACTGGATATCGTCTTGCAGAATTTACCAACTCTGCTTTATTCTCTATAGTCACAAACTGAGGGACTTTCTCAAAGCATTTGGTTCATTGATTCATTCATTTATTCACTCATCCATCTATTAATCTATCAGTCAACAAATATTTGTTAAGCATCTACTATGTGAAGGCAAAATAATGACATAAGAAGCATATTGGGGTGGAAGTAAAAATAGAACAGAAAGTTCTGGATGGACCTCAGAGGTCTTGGAAATCCCAGCATATAAAAATATCCTTAAGACTTTGGATAACTTAATCTTTCATACTTAGGTCACTTTTGTTATTAAAGAGCATCGTGGTTTAGGAAGTGAGGTTTTAACTTCTTATATAACCTAGCAGTCCTATCTCTGTCTTCATGTTCCTCTGCAGTTACTTGACACTTTGATCACTGGACTCTGCACCATGGAACTGTATTCACTAGCTCACAATAATGTAAGGAGATGAACGACAAAAGTATTTTCCATTATTTATCTGTAGGATTTTCTCTTTGGTAAAAAAGGAACCAAACAGCATGATTTCCTAGGCAAATGTGATAGAAAACATTGAGCCTAACTCCCCTTTCCCACCCTTTTCAAAACCAAATGATTAATTTGTTTAAAAATTGCCCAGTTTCTGAATTCAGTTAGTTATTTTTTGGGGTAAATGAGTAAGGGTCATCAGAGACCATCTTAGAAGTACTATGTGCCCAGTCATATTTTGATGTCTTTCTCTTTTAAAGCCCTTCTTTTACTCAAAAACAGCCCTTTCTCATCCTATAGTCTTCTGCTGTTTTGTGGAAAGAGCACTTGGTGGGAGTTAGGTGACTTGATTTCTGATCTCAGCTTTGCTGCTAACTAGTTGTATGACCTTAGGCCAGGGGCTGATAAACTCTAGCTTGCAGGCCAAATCCTAACCATCTCCTGTTTTTGTAAATAAAACTTTATTGGAAGATAGCCATGATTATTTGTTTACTCATTGTTTATGGATGCTTTCTGGTTACAGCACAGAGATTAATAGTTGTGATGGGCCCACAGGGCCCACAGAGCCTAAAATATTTACTGTCTGGCTCTTTACAGAGAATGCTTGCTGACCTTATGTTCTTTTAATTATTATTATTATTATTACTATTTTTTTTTCTTTTTTTCTTTTTTTTTTTTACTGACTGGTAACGGGATCGCAACCCTCGGTGTTGCGCCCGTACCGGGGACCGGCAACGGGATAGCAACCCTCCGTGTTGCGCCCACACCACGCTCAGCCAGTGAGCGGGAACCGGTCTCCACATGGGATCCGAACCCTCGGCGGGAGCGCCGCCGCGCTCCCAAGCGGCGCACTCTCCAGTGCGCCACCGGGCCAGCCCGTTTTAATTATTATTTTTAATTGACATACAATACTTGTACATATTTATGTGTTACAATGTGATATTTTGATACATTTATACAATTTGTAATGATCAAATCAGGATAGTTAGCACATCTCATCACTTCAAACATTTGTCATTTCTTTGTGTTGGGAACATTCAGCATTCATAGTCTCTCTTCTAGCTGTTTGAAATTGTACAATAAATTATTAACTATAGTCATCCTACAGTGCTATAGAACACTAAGCATTTTTACGCAGGTCATTATCTTACTTTAGCCTCATCTTCCCCATGTGCAAAACTTGGGAGTTGGACCAGGTTGTGCCCATGGCCCATGTCCTCCTTATGTTCAGTTACTCTAGAACTCGTCCTACAGAGCAGCCCCATCTCATAACAATCATTGTACACTGAGAAATAACCTATTTATATTTCCATTCATTTATTCAACTTATTTTTTTTTTTTTTTTTCTTGTCTTTTGTCTTTTTCCGTGTCCGGCAACGGATCGCAACCCTCAGTGTTGCCCCCGCACCGGACCGGGGACCGGCAACGCGATCGCAACCCTCGGTGTTGCTCCCGCGCCTCGCTCAGCCAGTGAGCGGGAACCGGTCTGTATGTGGGATCCGACCCCTCGGGCGGGAGCGCCGCCACGCTTCCCAAGCGGCGCACTATCCAGTGCGCCACCGGGCCGGCCCAAAGAGAGAAAGTGAACCATTTATTCAACTTATTTTTTTTTTTTCTTGTCTTTTGTCTTTTTCCGTGTCCGGCAACGGATCGCA